TTTAAATTTTTTAAATGTGCAAAAAAAAAAGCATTCAACTTCATAATTGTGAATAATTTAAACAAAATTTGGTGAAAAATCTTCATATGCTAATACGTATATTTACAGCCACACAACGTGCCATGCTCACAGCTAGTCGTATTTGGAGATGAGTTCACGGATGATGGCGTTGAATTCAGCGTTCATTCTCACGGCTTCGAACGAAATTCAAATGGTCCGGTATGGCCGGAATATTTGAACAGAATGCTTGAATGTGATGAGATAAGTTATTTTTGCATTTAGCAATTTTTGTAACAATATCAAAGCATCATCAACGATTTAGAATTGAATATTTAACTATCTTACAAATTATATATATATATATATAAATACCTTTTAAATTCATATAGATCAATATGATATGAAAAATTTTAAAAAAAAAGAATAAAAAAATATTTCCATTTTTTTTTTTGTTGGATGAGAATTTTTCCGAGAATTGACGAATTTTTATCAAATTTTAGTATATCAATTATGCATACAGTGGAGCAAGAAGTGACTACAACAATATGTTTTTCTCAGATTGGTCGGGAATACTGTGGCAGGTGGAATATCATTTAATGAATCGTCGCACCATACCAAAAGGTAAAATGAAATAGTTCATTGATTTCTTTTTATAATATGAATTTTAATTAGTTAATGTTCAATGAATTAAAGTCAACTCTTCAAAGTTACAAACTGATTTTTATTTGTCTATGAAATTTTTTTGTATTTGGAAAATGCCTTTTCTTAGTCTTAGCTTTTTGTTCTTTATGTTGCAATTAGCCATTTTATTATTGTGATTTTGTGGCATCTGTGCCATACACCACTATTAATTAATTAATTGCAAGTTTCATTTAACAGATTAAGATAGAAAATTATTTATTTTCTATTTCAGATTCCGTAATCATTTTACAAGCGGGTGGATTAGCAGAGCTAATGATATTGCAACAAAAGAATAACGATGAATCGATGATTAGTGTCATCGATAAAATTAATGAGAATATAGCACATGCTGTATCGGGTTTGATCAATAATGTTGATAATGGTTTGTTTGTGAACTGATTTAAATAATTCAAATGCATTTAAAATTTAAAAAATTAGAAAAGAAAAATCTTAATATTTGTTGTAATGTTAGAAAAGAAGAATAGTCATAGGTAGCGTGCAATTTGTAATTAATTTAAAGTGTCTCATCATAAGTCACCTTTTAGGAAGTTTAAATAAGCCTCCTTTTATAATTCAGATCAAGGGGAAAAAATTATAATCATTCTTCACTTCTCAGTAAATTTTAACCAGCTAGCTTGATAATAATATTAGTGATAGTTGAAATCCTGTCTACTTAAATATATCTCAATCATTGTGACATTCTTAAATGACAGAGAGAGAGAGAGAGAGAGAGAGAGAAAGGAAGGAAGAGAATTGCTTTATTTTTTTTTATCAGTGCTACCTTTTAGATTATCAATCTTACAGGTAATATAATAATTATGAATTTGATTGATCCATATGAAGCGCCAGGTTATGCGACATTTACTTCAGTTGGAAATAATCATTTGGATATGTCTTCGGTGGTTTCACATATCAATTCAGTATGCTAATAAATGTTAATAATATACACCTCAAATGTTGACATTTTATCGGCGCAGTGATTATTAACAGAGAAAGGCCTTATGCAATATAGGATTAAGACTAAGTACATAAAACTTTCATCTCAATTCAACCTGAACTTTACCATAAAGTAAAAATTTCAAGCATTCAACTTGTTTCTTATTTCAGAAACTTTGGAGGTTGGTAACAACCGAAGGACATGAAAATCGACAAGTTCGCCTTTTCGATTTAAACGTAGCCATTGTTGATGCTATGCGAGGGTTGAACACAAATGAACCATTCACGTACCAGCAAAGTAATATGACGTACGTATGCGGATTTCTCAGCTTAGTCTTCTTCAAAATGATCAATTTATAGTAACAGGGATAAAGACTCATTCTTAGGAATTTTTTGCCGATGATAAGCATAAGCAAATGAATCGTGCAATGTTTCATCCGTTCTAACCGTTCGGCACGTATCATTTATTAATATCAATAATTTCAGATCATTAAAGGTATTTGATTATGCTTATCACAATCAATGGAATCCATCAACATTGGTACATCATAAAATTGCCCAAAAATTGGTCAAATTTCTGGAAGATTTATGAAGGGATGGTTTGTAAAGCGAAATATGCATATTTTGTTATAATAATATTTCTAACTGAAGTATTCAAATTATAAGAGATTGGATTGGAATGGGGATAGCATGAATATTGGATTAGGATTATCTTTTTTTTAGATGAGCATTTGATAAGTAAATGGGAAGATTGCTGCACTTACAAAATTATTTTATGAAGATGAATTTGATTGTCACTGTTGAATTATTATTAAGGTTCAGAAAATTTATGATCAGTCCGAGTGTTTTGTGCTTTTTTGTTTTTTAAATGTAAAACTTGAGTTTGTTTCGTATTTTTCCTTTTGATAATTTTGGACGGCATGTTCTTAAGGTAGCATCTAAAAAATCATTTAGAAACAAGTGATGGTTGTAATTATGTTGTTGTCAGTTTAATTTTAACCATATGTCGAACTTTTGACTCAAATATCCATGAACGAACCGAAAAAAAAAATTACATAGTTGAACTGAATTCGATCGGATGAATGAGAGAAACAGGAAAAGCAAAAAAAAAGCTACAATTTCCGATATTTTTTATGATTTCTTGTTTACAGATTATACACAATAACTCCTTATTGAGACATATAATTTACTCATTCTTTCTTCTTACGTCGTACATTGTCTTTCAATAATCTCTCACGTCTTTTTTCTTTCTAAAATTATTCAAAAATGAATGAAACAACGAAAAAAAAAAACCTTTCTTCCATGATGGAATTTTTTTATTTTATAATTATTTACGAATTTCTTATTGGTATCCTTTGACATTCAGTATAGCTTAATGCTCGATCATTAATATTTCATACATTATCCCAAGAAACATAATCACATTTGATCCAATGATTTTAACCTCTCAATTTTGATAACTTTTCCAGGATATTAGTAGCAGCTATTTCCCAGATTTCTAATATATTAAAATATAAAATAAAAGCTTACTTTGATTGCTTTACGAAGTTTCCATGAAAGAACAATAGTAACTAGTAGAAACGGTGTAATGCATAGCAAGAGAGTTACAAAAAATGAACTAGGATCATTGCTTGCCCATAATACTAATGATATTAACCGTTTCCATAAATGATCCCTCAGATTATCAAACATCTAAAATGAAAATACATAATTCGATTGTTGTAATGATTATAGCACGCATTTTTATATTACAGTCAATCATTGCCAATAAATTATATGTAATGTGATACCGTAATCGTGAATTAAATTTTCCAACTCGATTACATCATGATATTTACAAACATTCTGAAACAAACTTCCATTTCAAAACAATTTCATTCTACTTATCACTTATCATCCTCTCTTTTTTTTGTTATGATTAAAGAAAAATTGTGCTAAAAAAAAAAAAAAGAAAAATTGTGCTAAAAATTGATCACTAGCAGAATAATTTCCAATGTGTTGAAATGATCGATTAGAAGAGACATGCAAGAATCAAAATATGCTAGCTACATTGCTCAAACCAAATTATTTGTTTAGAAAGAAAATCAAATAAAATTATTTGCTTAAGAAGAAAGATATTTATTGCTGAAGTGATTCCATACGATGATAATTTTTAATTCAATATTTACTAGCTATATAACCTGATACGAAATATAATCACACTCAAATAACGACAATGTTATATGCACTTGTAATGATATAAATTTTCATTTTTTTTTCTCTTAGCATGTAAATAAAAATAAAAGAAACGATAGAAGCAAATGAAGTGAACTATAAATACAATATGTGATAACTACATCACAAAAGCATAATATAAATATTGACTAGCAAAAATGATTTATATTTTTTACGGCATATTAATGAGTTGGAAGAGATATTGATTAATAGTTTTAAACTTTTAAAATGAATAATTGCAGCAATATATTCGAGAAATATACAGTAAAAAATATAGCCAATAAATAGTAAAAAAAAAGAAAAACATCTTAACTGGATAAAAGGAGTTTATTCCTCCACGTCAGCATAATTTTTAAAGACTAAAAAAAGCAAATACGGTTAAAATAATATCTTGTAACAGCTTCATGTAAAAAAGTCATTAACTTTTTGGCAACTAAAAAACTTGTTAAACGTTGATCATGCATTCATATCAAATAAATGAGTTTTAAAGTGACGCTTAAAATGTAGAAAATAAAAAATGCCATCAATAAAAGTATGTTCTGAGCTTTTTTAATTACATGTTATCAATTTATGTTTCTTTTCCTTTCTGTACATGACGCTGTTTATACTTCTTGTAATTACATTCAACCATATTTGTCTGCACCGGGAATTACAGTTACCCTATCAATTCTTGCTATCTTAATAATCGTTGAATTATCGACTTCAATTTTCA